TTTTACTTCTCAGACAGTACTGGGGTCTTCTCAACTAAGGACCTCATGCTTGCTAGGCAGGCAGGCACTCTTAAGACTTGAGCTACTCTGCCAGCTTTTTCATTTGATTTTAGGTGATGTGGTTTCAGAGCTGTCAGTCAATCCTAATATTCTGAGATAAGATCTTTCCCAAACCTCTAATTCTTCATTGTTTCATCTTTCTTATTATTTTTCCCAACCTTTCTATTCAGAGAATCCATGTAACAGGATGGGAATTCTTTATGTCTAAACCTGGACTATAGCACTGTGTGTGTGTAGTTTCATTTAAGATTTCTTCTTACAAATGGAGTGCACATTGTACACATGTATGTAATTACAATAAACCCCCCTCATATTATTAATGTAGACTAATTCAAAATGTAACAAAACTATTTTTAAAAATGGGGCTAATCCCATTATTAAGGAAACTAAAAACAAACAAATGGATGAGGGATATAGAACGGGCAAGACCATCCTATCAAAGGTATAATGGCACTAAGTCACTTTCTTACCTGGTGTTAAGATGACTTTGGGTGTTTACAGGTATCTAAATTTCTATGACTTGCCCCTAAAAGCTTCTCATTTAGTATGCCTGTGATGGGATATGGCAATTAAAAAAATTTTTTTGGTGGTGGGAATTGACCCAGGACTTGGAACATGCTCTGCCATCGAGCTATACCCACAGCCCTGGGAATCTGATTTTTTAGAATGCATCACAGTGACTCTGATTTAGGGTTAGGTTGATGAACCACTGATACAACTGAGACTAAAAATTAGGTCAGATTTCATTTTGAATCCTAGCTTGTCACTTAGTAGCTGTGCAATTTTGAGAATGGTTAATTTTTTCAGTCTTGCTTCATTCATTTGCAGTGTTGAGACATTTAATAAGGTTAGCATCTTAAAGTGCCTGGCACAGTAAATACAAAATACAAAGCACTATTTTATATTACCCTATGATGGTATCAGGGTGGGATCTTCTATCACAGTATGCATATGTACATATACATATGCATATATGTATATGTATGTATACATATATACATATACATGGAATGACATATCCCAGATCATTCCATGCTCACTTTGTCATCTACCTTTTGTCACACTAAATTTGGACTGGTTCTATCCAAGACTTATAACCCTCAAAAAAGCTGGTGAATAAGATGGGGGATGAGTTCTGCGGGGCTACTCAGCTTTATTGGATGTGCAATAATTTCAGGCAACACAGGACAGTTATCTTTAGGCCAAAATCCTTCCAGTTGTTCAACCCATTTTTTTTGGAAGTTGTCTGAATCACAATTTTTGGCAGCTGCTGATACAATATGTCTTTTTCCTTTGTTCCACCTTCCATGAACTACTCAGGTCCTACCTATCTTTTTCCCCTCTATGATGCTGAGGTGGAAAGAAATAGAAGAACCAGACTGAAGAGAAACAATACCTAAAATCTCAATAGAGACAGTGTACTATGGGCTTCAATGTTAAGAATGTTAGGCAAGTACTTTACCTCTGAGCTATACCACCAGCCGTCCTTTTTGAAATACTTGTGAGAAACACATTAATTTCAATCTACATACCTTTGGTGTTTGAGGCTGCCAGCATAAAAACTTGGTCAGTTTACCCCTATACCTGTAGTCAATGTTTCTAGGGAAGTCAACTTTCTCCCCATTTTTGGATTTCAGGGTAAGCTGTGTGTCTTAGAACCATGGGCCATGAGGGATGATTTGAGAATAGTTCAGTTTCCTAATGATTTTTACCAGACCTAGACTTCCTAGATAGTTGTTGGAGGAGATATACTCCTTGGTATTGGAAAAGAACATAAAAGCATGCAACAGCCATCTTAAGATCACAAAAAGGGAAGGGCTTTCTCAGAGTGGAGTCGAAGTGGATAAAGAAGAGCTTGCAATTTACCATGGTCACACTTGAACCAAGACTTGCTTGAAAACAAGATTTACTTTGTTTCTGTTTTAAAGTCAGTGTAAGCTGGGTTTTCTGTTATCTTTTTGTTTTTTGCAATGAATAGCTTCTTCTAAATAAGCTTTTCCTAAACAACTTTTTAAAGATGTATGAGTCATCTGAATTGAAAAGGTACCAGTTTCAAAAAGCCAACTGCTCAGATAAGGTATGTAAAAGATGAGCCTTCAAGTAGCACATCTGGAAAGACTTACACATGAGAACAGGTAACAAGTGGATACTTTGATTTGGCTACATTAATAAAAAGTATAGTTCGTAAGAAAGATAAAAGGAACCACTCTACCATTCTAGTCCTAAAACCTTACCATAAGTATTGAGTTAAATTCTTAGGACAAACCATTAGCAAATGATAAAAATAATTTGGACAGGACTCATATTGACTATGATTGGAGAGACAAGATTGTAGGGTGAAAAGTCATGTTTAAACTTAAGAGTCTCGGGAGAGAAGAGACAACTGTCTTCAAATATATCAAGGTAAAGCAGTAGACATTTGGTTTTTGACTGCTCAGCATCACTTGTCTTCCAATAATCATGACTGATATAGTATGTTTGGTGACCCACTAATTCCTTTGAACTTATCTGAAATTAGTACTGCCTCTGTACTACTAAATTCCATCAGTTATTACATTCCCAGTTTTGCTTGCTTCAGCTTAAGTTACATTTTTTTTTTTACCATTTTAAGTCATGTGTTTTAACTGACAGTGTCTTTAAAAAGTAGACCTTTAATGTCTCTAAAACAAATGGACCAAAATGTTAAGTTATAGACCAAAAGTCTTTAGTTAAATGGAACAAATTTCTAAGAATAAGTGTGCTCTAAAAAATAAAATTATCTATTTGGGAAGCTGATTTTAGGTTCGAATTCTGGTTCATTGATAATGATCTATTTCATCCCAAGAGTCTCTGAAGTTCTAAATAGCTGTAAGCTTTAAAAAGGTAAATACAACTTTTGGCAAAATTTAAATTATAGCTGGTCATTTTTCAGTACTGGGGTTTGAACTCAGGGCCTACACCTTGAGCCATTCTACCAGCCCCCACCATTTTTTTCATGTTTTTTTTTTGTTTTTTGAGATAGTCTCATGAACTATTTGCCCAGGCTGGTTCAAACAGCAATCCTCCTGATCTCTGCCTGCTGAGTAGCTAGGATTATAGGTGTGAGCCACTAGCACCCTGTTCATTCAACGCCTAATGGAGCTGACTCTTCATGTACTGATTCTATACATAGTATAACTTCCATATTTCAATGTTATAATGTCTAGTAAATTTAGTCACTTTAATAAGACTTTAAAGCCTATTTTTTTTTAAAGTTTTTCTTTCTTTTGAGACAGGGTCTTGAACTTAGAATTCTCCTGCCTCAGCCTCCTGGCAGCTGGGATTAACAGGAACTATGCCTGGCTCCTATTATTTTAAATATAGAGGCTTATCTGTATTTGCACTTTGATACTGTAACTATTTTATTGAATATGAAGCCACTGCTTGGTAACATTACTTGAATTACATTATTTCCAACGGGAGAAAGGACCTGGTTTGACAGGCAGTATCCTAATCCCTTTCTGAATATTTGAAAGGGAAAAATGTTCTATTGAAAGGTCAGGACTTTAAACTTGAATTTTGAATTTCTTGGGTAAAGATAATTTCTGTACCAGTACTCTTCTTCTTAAATAGATAAAAACAAGCAGTGGCTTAAGTAAAACAAAACATTTAAAATAATTTAATCCATGAGATACACTGCAGTATCTCTGTACGTCTGGATATTCACAGATAAAAGATCTGGAAGGATACTTATCAAACTATTAACAATTTACCTTTGGGGATAGAATTGGGTTAGTGAGGGAAGTACTCTTACTTTTAAATTAATATGCTTCTGTACTATTTGAAAAAATAGAAAGAGAATTCTTTTATAAAAACCAAAAATATAATAGAAATTTTAAAAGTAAAAATAACAAGAGAAAGTTAAACACACACATAGTAATTTTAAGAGCTACACTGGAAAAGTGGAAATTTAAATCACCTGGCAAACCTTTTCTGCTTGTACACACTTGTGTAGTCCATCGTCAAATATTAGAGAAGCCAGATCACCACATCCCAACTGAAAAACTGCCCTGGGGTAAGAGTCCTGCAGTAATACCCTGCAGGTGTATATAAAACCAAAAGCAAAGTTTTAACCATTCCTGGAGGATCTAAAGGAAAAAAAATGACAATCTGTAAACTTCATACAAAAGAAAAAGGGTAACAGAAGTCACTATGGAATACTAAAATAGTTAATCGAAGGCCAGAAAGGGGAGGTATGAGAACTCTACCTAGTCCAAACCCCAACATAATATACTGAAATGTTGGACGGTATCTGGGAACATAGGTTAGAGACACCTACTTTATCCATGTTTGTCAGTTCTCTGAATTTCTCAATTAATTAGTTTTTATCTCAAAGATTTTAACCTAAAAACACTGATTAATGGGAAAGAATTAATTCCATTTAGATTCAGTGTTTTTCTAGTCCAAAAAACAGAGAAATATGATTTATGATTTTCCAATATTTATTTTTCCTCATAATTTCTAGATACTTAATGAACATCTGCAAGATGACATGTCTGATTTCTCATGAATTCTCTACTATACTATCTAAAATTTTGAGAAAATATTTTCCTGTTTTAGTTTTTCTCATTTTATTGAAGTCACCAGAGGTGACAAACTTTTCAGTATTCTTTTTTCCAATAAAGAGATTCTTTAGGTGACTATCATATGGACAATTAAGTATCTCATTAAAGTCAAAACATCTGTAACTGCAAAGTTCTGTCTTTTCTGAGTGTTCCTCACTTAGCTATCAACGTTTCTGTAGGATTATACTTACTTCGTAATATAGGACAGTTCACAAAATTTAACAAAAATATTATAAATAGCAGAGATAAAGAACATAAAGTCATAATGGCCATACTATTTTAAATGGTAACAGCTGGACTGTTGCTGTTTTTTAATGGATTATAGTAATTAAAAAGAAAGAAAACAGCAAAAGATTAATCATAATGTATAAAAAAGCATTTAGCATGAAAAATTCTGTTACACAATAACTATTCAAGCAATACTGGTTCTATAATGAACAATGAGTGAAAATGTAAGAATCTCAAACGGAAGAAAAAGCTTAGAACTAATTTCCTAGAATTATGTTTTTAAATGGAAAGTTGGAGCTCACAGAGAGCTGTAAGGAATTCTGCATTTTCTGGATCTATCTTTTGTGCCCTTTCATAGAATTCAGCAGCTTGTCTCTTCTCCCCCTCCAGCCTGTAAACAAAACCTAGAGCACCTAAACTCTGCACATCTAAAGCATTGTGACAAAGTCTCTTCGTAGCCAATTTCTTCACGGCACCTGTCAGTTTGGTACGTAAGGATGACCTGTCTTTGACCTTTAAGGCTTCTAAATAATGGTGGATGGCAGTATTTTCTGATTTACAGTGAAATTCCTGAAAGCGGCCATAGTGGTAGTGGATCTGATGTTTGTGATCATCAGTTATGTTCTCCAGACGAAGGGCTTTCTGGAAAATGTATTCAGCATTGCTATATTGGCCTCCCTCAGCATACATATTGGCTAGGTCTGTGTAGGCAAATGCAAACATAGAGTCTCGTTCCACAGCTGCTTTGAAATGAAATATAGCTGATGTAATCAGCTCATCAACCTTCAGTTTGTCCTTTCCTTTAGGTCTGTTGCGTGTGGACTTCTTGATTTGAATCATTTGTGCCCTGTAGCAAAGGCCCATCTGGTGATGCAGAAAAGAAGAGGTTGGTGTCACCTCCAAGGCCTTTTTTAAAAGTTCAAGAGCTTTGTCCCAGGAATTTTTCCTCCTATAGAACTTGGCTGCATAACGTAGGACATAAGGCTGGGATGATATCTGGTCTAGGATCTCTTCAATATACCTTTCCCCTTCAGCCTCTGCATGTACATCTTGAAGCTTCAGTGCCAGAAAAACCTTAATGTAGGTGTTATCTGGGTTTAGGGTAACAGCTTTCCTCAGAGGTCCCAGAGAAAAGCTCTTTACAGACCCTTCTCTGTCAGAATCATCCAGCCGGTATACTGTGATGGCATAGCCAATGTTAAATTCTGGATTGTCAGGTTCTACTTCCAAAGCCTTCTCAAAAGCTGCTTTAGCCTTTTGGTAATACTTTCCTCCAAATTTCAAGAGTGCCCACCCTTTCTCACAGTCAATCTCAGGACGGTCCAGTTTGTAGCTAGAAGGACTAGAAAATTCCCTGCAGACATTCTCTACCTTATCTATATACTTCTGAACATCTTCAAGCTGGTCCATGTGGTAAGACACCCAGGCATAGTTTCCCCAAGTGACCAGACTTCGTACTTCTTTTTCATCTGGGTGTTCTTTATGAATTATTTCTTCTGCATGTTCCAAGCACTCTAAGGCATCTTTATTTTGGCCTTTTAGATGTTTCACATAGGCAAGTAAATTATAAAGAGCAAGTCTGGATTTTGTAGTGAGAAACTCAAGTTGTTGCCCAATTGTATCTTCCACATCAAGTAGATCAATGTCTTCTTTAAGTAAATTCCATGTAAAGTGACATTCTAACTCTAACAGAATGGTCTTCAAGGAGTTCGTAGGAATTTCACTGCAAAACATAAAATTGTTTTTAATTTTTGAATAAAGTAAATAATTAATTTCCTAAACCTTTAATACTATTTTTGCATATAAGCTAATTTTATCTCTAACTTAACAGTTAAAACACTAGGTTCTAGTAACTTTTATGCTGAGTTTCCTTTATGTGTGGATTTATCCCAGAAATAACATATTTAAACTGTTTACTGCAAAACCAGTTCTGGTTTCTACATTGTAGGATGCCTATTTCTCTCTGTATTTTCTGCAGGGAAGGGAAAAAATAAGAGGAGATAGCTGGGGGGTAGGGCATAGCTCAAATGGCAAAGTGCTTGCCATCAAGCACAAGTTTCTGAGTTTAATCCTCAACACTACACACACACACATAGAAAAAAACCCCAAAAAACCCAAAAATACTTTGGGGGCTAGGCATGGTGACACATGCCTGTAATCCTAGCTAAGGGGGTGAGGGGAGCAGAAATGGAAGGATCATGATTGGAGGTTAACTCAGGTAAAGTTAGCAAGACTCTATCTGAAAAATAAACTTAATTTAAATGGACTGGAGGCCTGGCTCAAGTAGTGGAGCTCTTGCTTAGCAAGTGCAAGGCCCTGAGTCTCAACAACCATACTGAGAGACAGAGAGACAGAGAGAGAGAATATAAAAGAAGTTCTTTGAAGGGGACAGAGAAGTAAAAGCAATATTATTGTTTTTGCAGAAAAAGGAAGGAAGAAAGCAGGCTCCTCAGAGACAAAGAAAACAAAAACAACAAAACAAACCACAAACAACAGACAGGAAAAGGTACATCAAGAGAAGAAAGAAGCTTAAGGTTGAGATAGATAAAAGGAGAGTAACAGATTTAGAGGAAGATGGAGGAAGAGAAAAGAAATAAAGAAGCTCCGTAGGTTCTGATATGAATGCCACATTCTCTGACTCCCAGGACTGTGGGCCAATAAAAAAGGCTAAAACCTACTACCATTGCCTTCAAGAAGCATTTGCTGAGCACCCTTTGTACCAGGCACAGTGAAATCTTTGTGGAGTCCATTAGAGAGCCTGTTTCTGAAACTAGGAAGATGAGAGGAAAGGCAGGGATGGGAAATATTTATTCATTATGTGCAAGATCTTCTAAATAACAAGGGGAATGCAACTGTGAATAAGGCTCAGTCTTGTTTATAGATGGTATATATTATAAGGAAACAATCACATCAAGTTTATATTGTAAGAAAACAGTCAAATAAATTGTGTTCCAATAAAATTCCATAGAAGTAACTTAGGAAGGGTACATAGTTCAGTGTTATAGATATCAATGGCTTATACTTCTCAATTGCAAACATGAGAAACCCAGAATGTCTTTTGATTTTCTTTTTAGGACCACCTCTCCCCTACTCTCTGTTCATCTGATTTAAGAGGGGCTATCCAGCCCTCACTCCATCCAGTCTGCATGAAGGCACAAATATCTAAGCCATTCCCTGGACCCAATGATTTGTTCAGATACTCCAATTAAAATCTAGTTTTGCTGAAATTGGACTTTTTTCTGGAAATCTCTTCCCTCTAAAAAGTTTAGGCTGGTAGAATAATAAGTCTGGAGCTGCTGGGGGTCACCTTTCCAAACCCTTAGAGAGAAACTGCTTGAGAAAGAATCTAACGTACAAGGAAGCAGAACTTCGATAGGAAGAGAACAAAATACTAATGACACTGAGTACCTAGATTTAGCCTTACCTGGATCACTGGCTCTTTCCCTGGACTTCTATTTACTTGCACTAATCAATCTTTCTCAGTCTTTCAATCTCTGTCTCTCTCTCTCTGTGGAAGCCAGTTTGAATTGGGTTTCTACTGTCTGCAACTGACAAAGTCCTGATTAATTTATCCAGTTTTATTTGTTTGTTTTGCCAGTAGTGGTGGTGAGATGACCAGCAAGGACTTTCTAAAATTACTATTGAGAATAATTAAGGGTCACAAGAAAAGTACAGACAAAAAAAATTACCTAAGGCCTCTCTCAATATAGGGAAACAGTCTAATTATGGGATGAAAAGCCCTCTTACATGTGTGTGAGTATTTCCTATTCTGGTTCACAGGGGACCACCTCTTTGTCTTGTATGAACAATATACTATGTAGTCACATGCTTGTTCATGATTATAATTTTTCAACTAGTAAACATTTATTGGTCATGTCATGCACATCAAGCGATTTTCTATTATAACTGATATGTCAATGAACAAGATAGAAAAAGGTCCTTTCTTATGGTGATTCTTTCTAGGAAAGGATTCTAAAGGAGATGACAAAAAATAAACATGTAAACAATTCAATAGACAACATCATGAAGACATTACTGAAATGGGTCCAAGTGAGAATGTGATGTGGAGAAGTCAATGTGGGGAGTACAGACCACTCTTTTAAGGACTGTTATTATGATGAGAGTACAAAAAAACAGCTTTAGTTGGAAGGAGATTGTAATTGCTTAGTCTAAACCATACTATCTTTGTTTTGACATGGGGCAAAAATTTGGTCCCCTTGCTTCCACTCTTGGCCCCCTATGATCCACTCACCATATGGCACCAGTAAACTTTTGAAAAGGTAAATCAGATTATGTAGCTCTACTGCTTAAAATCTCCCAATGGCTTCCCAACACCCTTAGATTATTAGTAGAGCCCTTGCTATGATCTACAAATCCCTTGCTGTGTCTACTTAGCCAACCTCTCCTACTAACCTCCCCCCTCACTCACTGTGCTTTAGACATACTGACCTTCGTATCTTGAGCATTTTCAGCTTTGGGACTTTTTTTTTTTTTAACCTGCTGTTCTTTTTCTACCTGGTATGTTCTCCCAAATCTATGTATGACTACTTTCCTGTAATTCAGATCAAATACTCCCTACCTAACAGGTTACCTTGCGGCAGAGCTATCTAAAATAGTCCCCTCCAATTTAATTCACTCTCTAGACCATTATACTGTACTGTCCCTTGTAGCTCTTACCACTTTCTGAATTATGTTACTTACTTATCTGTTTGTCTGTTTCCTCCATTAAAATATAAGCCCCATGAGAATAAGGGTATTGTTCTGATTTTTTTCACCTCTGTGGATGTCAGACACATAAAAGAAGCTTAATAAATATTTATTGAATGAATGAATCCAGTTATGTTCTGCAAGCTCCTGAAATGTTCAAGATAGGTCCAGGTATTAAAAACACCAGAATTCCAGATGAGGGAATCCGTGACAGTTACTCCCTTCCAAATGATGGCTCCAAACTTTTCTTTCACTTCAGTAGTCCCTGTCCCACTTATTTTATATCCTGCGTTGCTCTCTGTCTGCCTCTAGGTTTGATTCTGAAAATAGGTCTTGCACTGTTTTGCATGATCCAGACTGGGAGACTTGGCAGGATCTTCCCTTCTCTGGTGTAAGTGCACCAAAAGCAGGGACAAGACACATCATGCCCTTTCAGACTACCCAAATCCAATGCAATATGGCCATCACAGAGTAAAATGAACACCTGCTGAAGGTATCAAACAGCCCTACCCAAGAAGGATAAGGCTGCTCAGGCATTAGGAATGTAGCTGTAAGAACTCAATGGGGACATTCGATGGGGCACTGAAGTACTATGCTCAGACCCTGAAATTTATGCACAATTGGACACTGTGAGAGGCTTCACTTTTAAGTGGTATCTACTTAATTTTTTAAGTTTGTCTCTGGCAAGCTGGTAATTCAGAGAAGCTACTGAATTAAGAAAGGTAACATTTATTTTTAGATCATTTTGTTTTTTTGCAAGAAGTAAATGAAAGACTTTTCATTGTCCTCTGGGAGCCAGTGGGGCCAGAACCTCTTTCACTCCACCTTGCAAATAAATATAGTGCACCCATCTCTCTTTTCCTGGCTGTTTCTCCAAGCACCTTCCTGGTATCTCCCTCCTCTCTTACAAATATTAGAAGTGATGTACCTACACATTTTAAAACTGATAATAATAACTGACATTTACTGTGCAAAATTATATGCTAAGCAACCAATTAATCCTTTCCACAGTCCCAAGAGGTGGATGGCATTATTACTATTTTTTACAAGTGAAAAACATACAGAGTTTAGGCAACTTTGCTTTGGGTCACTCAACTGGTAATCCAAAGCTCAGAGCCAGAATTTAAAACAAGGGATTGTCTGTGTCTAGAGAGAGCCGTTAACCTCTCCTTACCCACCTCATTCAGGGTGGATGGTCACTAACCACTTGCAGGGGAAGCTACTAGCTACCTGGGGATACAAATTGGGTAAGAACAGAAATGAGCCAAGAAATGAGCCACAAGAAATGAGCCAAGGAGACGAATACTGGGATCCTCATAGATTAACAATCTCCCAGGAAGGGAAAAACTCACACCCAGGCAAAATGGCAGTGGAGACAATGGCACACGGAGGGAAGGGCAGCTGGAAGACGGCCTGGGAAGGAAAGGCATGAGACACCCTAGGGGACCGGGCCACATAGCTGCGGCCCGGAATGTCCCGGGGGAGGGGGAGGGGGAAGTGGGAGGGGTCCTGCGCAGGAGAGGAGCTTGGCCACGGTCCATGAAGAGCCACAGGGAGGGGACGGGCCTCCCGTGGGAGGAGTCGCGCGGCCACAGCCCAAACGGTCCGGACACCCGGGAAGTATCCGCCCCGCCACGCTCCCCGACCCAGAGGGCCTCGGACTCCGCGGCGCAGGACGCGGCTCCCGCGGAGCGTCCCGAACGCTGACGCCGCACTGCCGGGCGCGAGAGGCGCGTCCCTTATACATGGCCACCGCGCTGCTGGGGAAACCAACGCTGACAGAGCGTTAATGTAAAACAAAGGCGACGCGGGGCCGGGGAGGGCAGCCCTTACCTCATGGTGACCGGGGCCGCAGGAGCTGTGGAGGCGGCGGCCCTCGTGCTGTTCGCTCAGTATCAGGGGCGCGGCGGCCGCGCGGCGACGGCCCATGTGCGCATGCGCGCGCCTCCCGCCAGGCGTAGCCCGCGCCCTACGCGGCCCCCCGGCGGGGGGTCTTTGTTAAATCCGGGCTCTGGCGCGCAGGAAACGGAAAACTGCAACCCCCCCCGCCCCCCGCCATCCTCCTGCTCCAGAAACCGAAATTCAGCGGGAGATTTCTTAATGCCTGCTTAGCAAAGCGCTGGCATTGCAGCTGAGCCTGTGCCCTTTGGCCTTGGCGCCGACCTCTCTCACCCAGTGACGGGAGGATGTTCTGCGTTATTTTGGTTGTAATGGTGTCAAGGATGCTCTTGCCAGCTTTCTGAATCCTCAGAGACTGAAGACCCTGCCTTCATTCCAGTCATTTGAGTCAACATGCTCCACATCAACGCCATAAATCAATGCTATTGTTTCTGTTTGGTATATTTAAAGTAGGGAAAATTTGCTTTCAAAATGCATATACATTTTAAGTTTGGATGGGTATTGCTGAATAGCTTTGCAAAAAGGTGTACACATATTGCTACCAACCATTGTAAAACATTGTTTTTCTTTCATGCCCTTCCCAGAGATGCTTTGTGTAATAAGTTCCCAATAAAGATAGGAGAGAGGGGAGGGTTTGAGATCCTAAACAGAAGATGACAAATTCCCATGCATCAAGTTTTCTATGCTCTCTGAATTCAGCCCTTGTTTTATTCAACTAATTTATTGAACAACGGCTAACAGATTTTGTTCAAAGTACTATCAATATAGCCACAAATAAATTAGACAAGGCCCCACCCTTGTGGAATTAATTGCTAGTGTACTAAAGATAATAAACAAGTAAAGCACATTAACTGTCAGATGGGAAAAATAAAGCATAGAAGGGATGGGATACTGTAGAATGTTTTGCTATTTATATGGTACAGTAGTGAGGGAAGGTCTCACTGAGAGTGGAAAGCAAATATCTGGGGGTAAGGAGAAGACACCACGGGTATGGGGCTGAGCAAGATTGTTCCAGGTAGAGGACAGGTAGGTTCCAAGGCCCTCAGGCAGGACCATACTTGGAAAATCTGGGTAGAATGGAGCTCACAGTGCATTGAGCAAATGAAAAGCCAGAAAAAAATGAGATCAGAGAGGCAATGAGGGTGTGGTAGGCCCTTAGGCTATTGTAATATTTATCAGATTTGGGAAAACAGTTTAGAAAAGGTACTGGAAGATTTACCTTGAATTGAAAAGATAAACCTAGAATTTTCTTGTTAGCAAGAATATAGAAAAATTTAATAGAGTTACAATGTTTGAGAGTTTTCCAGTACATTGATAAAGTTTTTTTCCCTTCTGTGTTCCTGTTTCTTTATCTCTCCTCTTATCTGTGTCTGGTCTAAGAAGTAGTCTTTTAAAAAAAATAAATAAATATTTAAGAGTAGTAGCAAAGCAATCAGTGGTAAAAAAAAAAACAAAGATAAAAAATCTTGGTTATCTACTTACATTGTTTAGGACTTTGAATTCAGGAAAACACAAGTCAGGAGTTGGGCATGAGTCCCACAAAGATAAGCATTGCGTGCTTTCTCTCATTTGTGGAAGCTTGGTGAAAACTAAACAACAACAATAAAACAACATCACAGAAGTGAAAGGGGACTATTAGGGAGGTGGGAGGGGAAGAGAAAATGGGGAGGGAAGAAGAGGGGGTGAATATGATCAAAGTACATTCTATGGATGTATAGAAATGTTATGATGAAACTGGAGGTTTGCTTGAGCCCAGAAGTTTGAGACCAGCCAGGGCAATATAGACAGATTTTGTCTCAACCAAAAAAAAAAAAAAGGAAAGGAAAAGCACATGCATATATAAAAATTTAAAGGAATATGCATTTTTAGGATTGAGAAAAAGCAAAGAAAGGACCTGACTACTCAGTGAGTGTTGAACATGCTGAAATTACTAGATGGAATTTGAATATTGAGGGTTTTTTTTTTGTTAAAAAAAAAACTGTTGGATTCTTAAGAAACCAAGTTTATTTTCTTTTGAATGTATGTGTATTAATACATAAAACACAACCACTACAGAAAAGGAACAGAAATTGAAAAATGAAAACTGATCTAAAAACCTACTTAGGAAACTGAAATGAAATAGGTAGGTATTTCTCAAGTAGTGCTTCAGAATAAACCCTGTGAGTAATTCTTCTAAGAAATGGAGGTAAGTCAGAGTTTCTTAATTCTGACACTATTGACATTTGGGCTGGATAATTTTTTGCTTTGGGAAACTTCATTCATTGTAGGATATTTAAGCAACATTCTTATATATACCCACCAGATGTCAGTAGTGTTCCATAATTGTAGCCACCAAAAAAAAAAAAAAAAAAAAGTGTGTGTGGAGGGGTTCCTGATGTTGCCAAAACCCCCTGGAGGGCAAAATACCTCCCTTCTCTTCTTACAGCCCCAGCCTAACCCTGGTTGAGAATCACTGCAGTAAATAATACTTTCATTTATATTCCTAATTTTAAAAATTAATCTGTATCTGTACAACACAGATAAGAGATAGGAGGTAAACTTGAATAGGAGAGGAGAAAATGAATTCATACAGGTCATAAGTTGAGCAGTATTCAGATTCAGGAGGAAGAGGATGGGTGAAAGGGGGAGTTTAAGGGGAATGTTGGAGTAGGCTTACTCCCTTCGGCACGGAACGTCAGAGTGGAAGGGGTTGTCATTACATTTAGTCTGGCTGGGGACAAGGCACACAGCCCTGGCCGTAGGCTATTGATGGATTCTAAGGTTGAATATGCTTTGGCTGTGTCCTCCAAAGATTTTTGCATTGGAAGCTTGGTCCCCAGTGTGGCACGGCCAAGAGCTGATGGGACCTTTAAGAGGTGAGGCCTAGTGAGAGGTTGTAAAACTGACAACTGCCCTCTGGCTTCCTCCCTTGCCATATGATATCTCCCTCATACATATACTCTACCATAAAAACATCTGCCATAATGTGATGAAGCCGGTGGGGCCTCTGGCAGAGTCACTTTTGCTATAGCAGAAGATAATAGACTAATTAGGTTATCCAACTTGGAGCAGGCCGTAGGGTAGATGCCCTGACTCCCAATGCAATCCCAGCTCTAGTAGCATCATGAGAATGGAGGTATTGGTGGTTAGAGTGGTTCACAGAGGCTGGAGCTTTCAGTGGTTATATAGACAGCAATTAGCAAAGGCCCGGACTGGGATACCTGCAGCAGTAGTGTATAAGAAGAGCTGTAGTTTGGCCAGACTTAGGATTCGGACTAAATAATGGCACCAACTGAAGCTCTGAACGTCATTTACATGGGAGTAACAAGTTTCTAAAACCCAGCTGTCAATTTAAAGAGACTTCTTGGTAATGCCTGGAGGGAGATGGCAATAGTTTTGTCTATGCAAAAAAGCATCTAGGCTCCACGATTTGCTATTTCTTGTTTTTCTCTGCAAATATCTACACTGTACCACACTAATATTATTGAGCCCTGAGAAAAGCAGAAATCTCTTCCAAGGTTGGGAAGTATGGGACAGAGAGGTGCTGCTAGGTTAACAATAAAGCATACTAAATAAGTTCACCCTAGGGATTGTCAAACAAACCTCATAGAACAGAGTACAATAGTCCAGAGATTTACTTTGCATTAATGAGCTCCTCTTTCAGATTGTTTTATATCCCTTTCATAACTCTTAATTAGGTCAATATCAGCAAGTGACTTAAATAGCACTTCAAATAAAACAGCATAAAATAAATTCCTTGGAACAATTTGAGAATGAATTAAATTTAGGATACTATTATGGAGAAAGCTGACTTTTTTTCCTATTTTTGTAACATTTTATATAACTCATAAAACAGTACTTGTATAAAATACACACAAAGTTGCTAGAGAGCATACAATTTCCAAAAATGTAGTGGGTTTTTGTTGCCTAAGCATGGATTCTAAGGTTTTCTAAGGATGCACTGCAATCAATGATAAAAAGCAGACATTATGTGATATTTCATTTTCTTTGGTAAACAGTTCTCATTATTTTGCTTCTCACAGTATTAACTTTGATATCCACTTTGTGCAGAGTCTGTTCTTACTAAGGTGTCAGAAAAAGATTAAGGCTGGATTTACAAGTGGCAAGTACTTCCAAACAGCAGCAGCTCCTGGGCCCCACCCTCCACTTCAGCGTGGTCCAGCTCCACAACCAGCCAGGTTGAGGGCTCCAAGATCTCCAACCAGGAGTCTTGAGACCTTCTGTCAATTGGGCAAGAAAGCAGACATTTAGGGGGAGCACTGGGAACTGAAAACATTTCTACAGAAATTCAAGAGGCCGTGCAGTGGTGTGCTTGGGCTAGGATTCTTACTATTGAAACAGACAATCCGGTCACTATTAAGTAATGCCATTAGTTGAGGATTGTTGCTATTATGCCACAACCTCTCAACTTAAAAAGAAAGGAAGATTTGAGGCCAACACTGAAGGGGAGGGGCACTAGAACTAATGACACCAGACATGGCTTTATTCCCTGGCAAAGTTTGTCATCATAGAGCCACGGCCACGTGAACTGAAGTAGGATTTGAACACTTTGTACATTCATGACTATCCCCGTACATTCTTTAACAACTTACTAACAGAGAAAACCATGACCACTACCTCCTACTGTGATTTGCTATTTTACTTAACAACAGCATGTGTCTGTGCTAATTCTTTAAGAGACCTTGGATGTGAGGCAAAAAATAAAAATGCAAACAAGTAGAAAACAAAGAATTTAGTTGGGGGAAAGGGGTTGCCAACAGATTTTACAGAATACGTTAAATTCTGAAAAAAAAATAGGTATTTTACTCTTCCATTGCTTCATGTAAAAAACATGCTCCCTGGAGCCACCTGTATGGATGGAGAAGTGAGGATAGCATACAGACAGAAAACAGCCAGAGGGAAAGGAGACAGCTCTCTTCACTGAAAGGGACTGCAGGATTTGGGGAGAAACCCTACACAGGCAAAGTGTTAAGGAAACCAGCAAAATACAGTTTCTAAAAACTTAACATGT